ATGATATAACATCTTGATTCATACATAAGAAATCTCAAGTTATAAATCTCAAAAAATCAAGATTAAGCTCATTCAAATTCAAATTGTCAAATCAAAATCATTTTCAAGATATTCATAAAAAAGACATAGATAGATTCATTAATCTCTCCTTTTTTATTATCAATGATTCAATTATATTATGAGATATACAAATCATAATTACAAAGGAGTCATATAAAAATCATGACATGAAGGATATTAATATGAAAAATCAATTCATGAATAATTCATCTTGACAAATCTCTCTTTTAGTAAATAATGAATAGAATCATAGGAGATCAAATAATATATCTTGATTCAAATAAATCTCAAATTATTAATGTTAAGAATCAAGAATCGTTTGGATAAATCTTCTCTTAGACAAGTAAATCGTACGTGAATCAAGAAAAATATTTCATATAAAATACATCTCAAGTCACAAACATCGATAAATAATTCGATTAGATATATCATCTCATTATTAAAACAAATCATACTAAAAAGAATCCAAAATCATCATCAAAATCACTTTTCAAAAAATTCAATGAAAGCAACGTAGATAGATTCCTATAAGATTAAAGATAGCTCAAGTTTTTTTAGTTCTAAATTTTGTGATTGATTTCATGTTCAAGTCTTTCATACAAAGGCCATGCTTCATTATTTATAATCGAAAAGCAATACGAAAATCATAGAAATCGTTAAGCTCAATAAAATATAAATTATCCAAAAATCATTATTACTTCAAATCACCATGCATAATTATAAAATCGTCAAGCAAGATACCAAGACTTTTTAACATTTCCATTGCATCATTACATCATTAATGCATCATTAACTCATCAAGCATGATTTCATTAAACATGAAGCATTTTTAATCAAAATTATTTTGTTTGTTATAGTAATGCATTTTTCTTTTTAAGTGAATCTAACTTTTCATGCTTAGTGCTAGGAGTTAACATGCAATTGTCATGATCAATTTTTTTTAATTTTTTAAAAATACTATAAAGATAAACATGATCCCAAAAACTTTTAACATTTTCATTACATCATGCAATTTTTTAAAAAAAATATATATAATTTTTCTAAACTAATTTAAAAATAACTCATAAAATGCATCATGTAATTTTGAAATAAAGTAACGAGATTTTGGTTACCTCGTTGTCGAAAGCTGTTAAGACGTAGTTTGACACCTCACCTTTGTTGGATTGTTCTTCATCTTCGGATGAACTTGATTCGTCCTAAGCCACCTTGCGTGTTTTCTTCTTTTTTTGTAACTTCTTATTTATAGGTTCATTTTTGTTCTTAAATTTTTGTTTTAAGAATTTTTTAAGCTTTATAGTCAAGAGTTCAAAGTCATCATCACTTGAGCTTTCGCTTGAGTTGTCTTCATTTGTTCTAAGTGTCAAATCATTCATGTTCTTTGGAAGGTTGTTCTCAAGCTCTTCATGAGCCATATAACTCATTTCGTAGGTCATCAATGACCAAATCAGTTCTTCAACGGGAAAATGTTTCAAGTTTTTTTATTCTTGTATTGTCGTGATTTTAGGATCCCAACTTTTTGGAAGAGATCTTAATATTTTGTTAACAAGTTCAAATTTTAAAAAACATTTGTTAAGAGCTTTTAAACTATTGATAACATCCATAAAACGGGTGTACATATCAATAATGGTTTCGCTTGGCTTCATTCGAAATAGTTCAAAATCATATATTAAAAGATTGACTTTAGACTCTTTAACTCTATTTGTGCCTTCGTGAGTGATTTCGAGTGTGTGCCAAATATCAAAAGTCGTTTCGCAAACAGAAACTTGATTGAATTCGGTTTTATCTAAAGTGCAAAATAGAGCATTCATATAGCTCTAGCATTTAAAGAAAAAATCTTCTTCTCCAAATTATTCCATTCATTCATTGGTTTAGAAGATTTTTTAGAGTCATTTTCAATAATACTCCATAAATTTAAATCCAACGAAAGCAAGAAAAATCTTATCATAGTTTTTCAATAAATATAGTCTGTCCCATTGAACATGGGAGAAAAGCCCTCTTGAAAGTTGAAAAGAGCCATTTCTCTTGGGTATTAAACCAAATGAGAAAGACGTGGCTTTGATACCAATTATTAGGATCGCATAAGCACTAGGAGGGTGAGGTGAATTAGTGCAGCGGATAAATCACGTCGGTTCGAGAATCTCGTTCGATAAAAAAATATTTCGACAAAGCCCATATAGGAAATATTTAACTTTAAAAGTGTATTCGTAAGCGTAGTGGAAGTAAAGTAAGTAAGGTAGTTTGTAGTGAAGGTAAATAGCAAGAATAGAAATGCAAACTAAGTTTTATAGTGGTTCGGTCGTCGTGACCTACATCCACTCCCGATTCCTATTACGTCGAGGCCACCGATGTCCACTAACGATCTTCTTTCAACGGGTGAAGATCAACTACCATTTTATACTTGATTCTCCTTTTGATAGGTTCAGTAGAGAACCTTTACACCCCCACTTACTCCTTTCTTAAACAACACTAACACTTAGAGTTTGAAAGGAGTTCTCACAATATTACAATAGTGTTTTTCTACGTTTTTGCTCTCAGTTCTTGTGTGTATTAACCAAGGATGATAGTGATATTTATAGGCTCAAAATATATTCAAACTTGGAGATGTATTAACTAAGGATGAGAGGGGCATTTGTACCACCGCCTACAGCATTGATACTAGGTAGTACCACCGCTCAGTCTAACGGTACTACTGCCTAAGAGATTGTGTTTGGACGGTACCACCACTCAAACTAGCAATACCATCGGCTGACAGTCTCTTGGAGAGTGAGTCTTGGTGATACCACCACTTGATAATCTCTCGGAGATTGAGTCTGAGCGATACCATCGCCTAGACTAGTAGTACAACCGCTTGACACGGTCTTAGAGACTATGCCACCGACGGTTCCACTAGTTTGGGTCATTGTTTGGGCCTTTCACTTAGCCTAACACATCCCAAACTTAGGCCCAATTGGCCCCTAATTAAGTTAACCTAATTACATTCTAAATTGACTTAATTAGACTCTAAACTAACTTGATCTAAACATAATCGATTACAAGCGAATCCTATATTGTCTAACATGTCATTGGTTCTTTCGGTGCTTCGTCCGATCCTTCGACGTATCATCCTCTCCTTCGACGTATTGTCCAATCAATATGTTGTCTTCTCACAACATCTGATCTCCTTGGCACAATGTACGATCTTCTTGGCCCGATGCCCGAATTCATGGATCGAAGCCTTATGCTGACACGTCGATCGATCCTCCGGCCCGACGTCCAATCTTTTGACATGTTTACTCTGGCTCAACGTATGATTCCTCCTACATTAATTGATTTGCCTCTTTTGATCGAAGCTAGTCCTGCATCACATAAATGTACATTAGATGACAAACATATCAATTGATTTCATCATCAAAATTTGAGATTCAATATCAGGCGGTGGTACCGCCAGACTAGGTGGTAGTACCGCTTAGTGTCAGTGCTGCAAGCGATGGTACCACCAGTACCTCAAAAATCTGGGATGAGACACTTTTAGGCTCCAAGTTTGAATCCACTTGAGGCCAATAAATACCTCTCTCATCCCTGGTTAACATACACAAGAATTAAGATAAAAAAAGTAGAAAAACGCTATTGTAATCTTGTGAGAACTCCTCTCAAGCTCTAAGTGTTAGTGTGGTTTAAGAGAGGAGTAAGTGGGGGTGTAAAGGTTCTCTCCTAAACCTGTCAAAAGGATCATAGAGTTGTAAGGGTAGTTGATCTTTGCCAATTGAAGGAAGATCGTTAGTGGATACCCATAGCCTCGACGGAAGAGGAATTAGGAGTGGATATAGGTCACGAGGACCGAACCACTATAAAATCTAGTTTGCATTTCTGCTTTGCTATTTACATTTATTGCAAACTGCCATACTTCTTCATTACTTTAGATGCACACTCTTACAAACGTATTTCAAGTTAACATTTTTCCGAAATCAGTTTTAATCGAACGAAAGATTTTCGAACCGACATAATTTTATCCACTATACTAATTCACCCCCCCCCCTCTTAGTGTCGACTCGATCTTAATAGTAATAAGAGATTATTGGGTAGAGCCTCTCTAATCTAAGAGGCTTAGGTAGTTAGATGGAGATCCAGTACCCAATATGACATGATCCATTATGGTTAAATTGATAAGGGGCCTCTATAAATATGAGGGAACTAAAGGGCCATGAGCTAGGTTCTTTTTTACTACCACCTCCTATTCTCTTCTCTCCCTCTCCTTCTCATATTGTAGCCCCTATTTGGGGCATGTGGATAGTACGAAAGGGTAACCTCTTCTTGATTCTGTGGTACGTGCGAGAAAGAGTTTATGGTAGTGATTTGAGGAGCGTCTTCGCAACCCTTACCGTGTGGATCATCGTTAGAGAGGAGGGCATTTGAACCCTTTCATCCAATCCCACAGATCAATAGAAATTCAGGGATATACAATCTCCCTAGGTAATTATCTTGTGTGTAGTTCACGGGTTTTTACACACCAACTTTTGTACGATGATAAGAAACTATTTTTTTACAGAAATTTTAATATTTTTATTTTTTGTTCTTCTACTGCGTATGAGATGTCATCCCAGATTTTCTAACATAAACTAACTGATATATTTAAGAATTAATAAAATAAAAATTTAAATATTTCAAATTTTGATAGGTGAATCGGCCAATTCTTTTGGAATTATGCAGATCCCTTATTTTGCCTACTCAAGAAAAATCAGATTAATATTTTGAATATAAAAATTTATAGATAACTACTTTCGAATCGTCTGCTCACTGTTTGCTTTGTGTTTAATGCCAATAAACCAAAATTTATTCTCACATTTTTAAATCCACCCCTCGATCTCAGCCATCCGCCAACGTGGCACCGAGGGAAACTTCTAGTCGGTGATATATTTCGCTGAGATCTGGATGCAGTGCCGACCGTCCAGCTGTCGGATCCGAAACAGAGTTCGTCCACATACTCGGCTGGCACCCATCAACATGATAACCATCGAAACCCGGAAGGGAGAGAATAAGAGCGAGGGAGTGCGTGGGAGAGAGGGCGCGGCAAAACCGACCATTCTACGCGCGTAGAGAGAGAGAGAGAGAGGATGGCATCTTCATCATCAGCAGGGGAAGAGGCTCGTCCGACACGGATAATGATCGGGGTGAACGAGTCGTCCATACGGGGATACCCGCACCCCTCCATCAGCAGCCGCACCGCCTTCGACTGGACTCTGCAAAAGATCGTCCGATCCAACGCCGCTGGGTTCAAGCTCCTCTTCCTCCACGTTCAGATTCCCGACGAAGACGGTACCCCCAAGTCCAAACACCCACGCACTCTTACTCTCTTCCCCCTTCCTCCTCTTTCTCCTTCTCCTCCTCTCTCTATTCTCCCCTCTTCGGGTGTACGGCCGCCTTTTGGTTTTAGGGTATGGCGATTTTGGATCTCTTGCCCTTCCGATCTTCCACCGTTCTGTTTGGATCGAATCCTAAATCCAAGAGGGAGAAGGGATAATTAATGATTTACACTCTCGTCGTCTCTGTTAACTTTGCTTTAAATTCGAATACTTTTCAGCAGTCGTTCAAATTTATATTATTTTCGTGTTCTATGGTTAAATCCTTTGCTTTTGAATCATGCATCTTTACTAATTGCTACTTAGTCTGCGTTGCATTAACTTATGAGTTGTATTATTCTGGGAGGAGGGAGAGGGAGAGAAAGGGAAGGATGAGGGAGGTAGGGAGGGAGTTTGTTGGAACCTTGTGGAGTGAATTGTGTCATGCATATGCTTGTTAAAGGAACTAACGTCTGTAATCCTCAATGAAGCTACTTAAGGTTATGCTATCTTGATTCATTACCATTTTAAGCTAGTTACCGCCTTAAACCAGCTACACTTGCCTAGTGCACCTGCTGATCCTTCATCTTTGTGAACTATACGTTGGTTATTAATGCTAGAAATAGATTGAAGCATAGAAGGTGATCCTAAGGCTCCAGGGTTGCAAAATTCTTCTTGACCTGCTGTTTATAATTTCTACTAATTATTTTGATTGAAAACCAACGCACTGCTTTGTATCTTATTATCTCAAGCAAAAAACAGCTACATTGCTTAACAGTTTTTCTGATTCCCTTTATAGCTACCAACATTAGGAGTATGGGAATGACAAAGGAAATGCACTCAAAAAGGGGATATGAAACACTTGTAAAGCAGCCATGGGAATTTGTCTAAGGTTTTTTCAGTGGGTCCCTGTCTGAATCCATCAAATGGAGAGGAATTTGCCATTCTTAATCTCAATGACACTTCTAATTTAAGCCTTGTTCCAGATGTGTTGTTTCTAAAGAAACCAATATGGATCGGCTGAAAATGTTGTAATGCCACTCTGAAACTCATTGTTTTTAGTAAATAATGCTTATTATAATCATTTCTGTTTTGTAACAATAATAATTCGGAGCAACCAAAACTTGGCCTAAAACAGCCAAAACAACCAAATTCAAGCAGGCCAAAACTGCCAAATTGTGCCCAGATCTGAAACTGAAATTGGATCAAGGATGATATTTATGCATGCAATACTGGGCATAATACTGTCATACTTTATTGGCAGCATGGCAATGGTCTTGATGAGATAAAAAAAATTGCTCACTCTCAAGAAATAAATTTCATGGTAGTTAGGGCTGTCGACAGCGAAGTATCTGACTGGATTTTAAAACAAAGTGACCGTACTTTGGTGCTATTAGTAGGGATAGTTGTGGATTCCTCTTTCCTACTTTGGAAGTATAATTTAGAGAAACACATAGGCTTCATATTTGTCTGTGTTTTGTATATACAAATGCAGTAGCATATGCATACACTTACATATATCAACATCGATTTGTTAGGTGCATAGGCTGAGTACTGCATTTTGCCATTAATATTTGATGGAGAATGTTTCATGGTCTCCTCATGCTTATGTGAACTGTGAAAAACACTGATATTGCATGAATTATCTTTTGCTGCTTTGAAGGTGTAGATGATACATAGATTAGAGGAAATGTCTGGCACATGATCTTCAAATTATTTGCAGTTTTATATACTAGCACTTAATTTCTTTTCATTCAAGGAACTAAATCGTTTGCAAACAAATAAAATCATACCTTTATCACGAGAAGAATATATTTCCTAGTCAACAAAACAGACTCTAATCACTCAAAAACATTGATTTGTATCATGATTTAACCCGCATTTTGCACATGATTGAGTCCTCTGCGGTGGCTTCCCTTACCAAATCTAGATGTCTGGACCCTCTTGTTACCACTTTCTGATTCATTTCTTCTCTTAATTTTTTTTAGTAAACTTGTCCTTGCTATTCCTACTCCTGATATTCGAAAATTCTCTTTATTGTTCTACACCAATGCTCGGTCTCTCCTTCCAACATAAAGGTGGCAAAAGAAATCTTCTAATCATCTAAGCAATTTAAGACATCAAATATTTTTTCCATTCGCATCATCTATTGTTCTGCCACTATTAGATCACAAAATAGGGAGGACTATGCTTCTTAAATTATTCCATTCCTGATCCATTCGAATTTGATATCCCCGATCAATAATTTTATCCCACACAATTACTCAGAAGAAGATGAAGCAAGAGGACTAGATGTCCTTGTCATCCTAGATTCCTAAAAGATATAAAAGAAAATTACCATTGATTATTATATAATTTACTAAACATCAATATATTTCGCACATCAAACATATCAAATATCTCAGTGATCCTCAAATCATGCTCTAATATCACCTTTGTCATGCCCCTCTAAATTAACACATTCGGGAGGTGTGAATCTATCTTAAATCAAGAATATTATATTTCATCCATAATCCGCGATCTAAGATCCAAACTAATATTTGAGGACATTGAAAAATATTTAAACATTATTCATATCCATAAACCCTGTGTATTTTATAATCATACATCACATCACTCGATAATTCAGGAAACCCAAACCAAATTTAACAAAACATTAATAACACTTATAATCCACCAGTGTTAGAATCTATATAATTGTAAAACCAACCATTTACCACAAGTTCATATCATCGTAAACTAAACTTAACATTTCAAAATTCCAAATGTAAGAGGTCTTCTAAAGCTTTTACATGATATATCAATTCAGATTCATCGACAACATTTCATTACACACAAAATGCACTTATACAACAATATAACAACCCACAAAGACTTGTTTACAAGTTGAATAGCTTTCTACTACCTCAGCCCAATTCCAACATTTCAGTGAGCGACAAGCTAACCTAAAAAATTTATATAGCAACGAAGTGAGCTACAAAGCTCAGGAAGTGACAAATATATCCATCACGAGAGAGGACAATTTCAAACAAACTTGGTATCAAAATACAAGGTAGGATACAAGAACTTATAGATATCCACTCATTAAATATATAATCGCAATGTCATTTCATTCGAAGCATGTTTTGTTCATAACAATGGAGTAATGAGTAATTGGAACATATCAATGATGTAAGAGGCATTTCAGAGCATATCAATGATATATGAAATATTTTAGAATATATCAATAGCAAATAAAACATTTTGGAACATATCAACTGGCAAATAAGAAACAAAAGCTCAAATGTAATATTTGACGTTGCATTCATTTCATTCTTATCCAAAGCACATATAGAAACTCATAAGCAATACTTTGGATATTATATCAAAAACATAGAGGGTACAGTGGGATCACTGACATAATATCGTCCATTCATTTATGGATGACCATCAGACAAAAGTCTCCTACGTTTGGGAGCTCTATCCACCCATGTTTTGATGAAGTCAGAGGGGGCGGGTAGAATATCGTGGGCTCTAAGCATAACTCCCTTTTATCATTTTTGGTAAATATTCACATTATCCCATAAATACTAGAGTAAAAAAGGACATTGTGAGTAATAACATTGGTGCATATTGAAAACACATGCAAAACAATGAAAATATACATGTAAACATAATATTTCACATAATACATTCAAATAATACATAATATTTCACATAATACGATGTAAACATAATATTTCACATAATACATTCAAATAGGAAAGGAATTAAGGACCAGAGCATACAAGAGTTCAAAGCAGTCACATAAGGCTTGATTAAAACAAAGAATATTAGATGAATTCAATTTCAAAGAGATGAAACAAAAATAGGCAAAATTGACAAAAGTTTCATTTTGGCAGAATTTGAGAGACGCACTGCACGAATTATTTGAATAACCAGTTATGCTTCAAATTACTCAAAATAGGTTGCATTTGAAAGATATATCAATCTACTTTTAGATGAATCAAGTTTTATACGAATTAGAGTTTCCAACAGGGAGTTACGAATAATTTAGTGACAAAAGGTTAAAAAACATCATCTCTGTTTACCGAATCCATAGGGTCGATTAAAACAGATGTTTCAGTAGGCATTTGTGCTTCAAATCTTTCAAATCAGGTATGCACAGAAAGATTTATGAGTTAGTTTTCAATAAAATAGGTTTTGTCGTAATTAGAGTTTCCAACAGAGTTTTAAGAAATTTAGTATCAAAAGGTTAGAAATTATAGTCTCTGTTTTACAGATTTCATAGGGTCAATTGAAATAGAAGTTTGGGCAGGCATTTGAACTTCAAATATTTCAATTCTGATATCAAAAGAAAGATCTATGAGTCTACTTTCACATGAATAAGATTTTGCTCAATCAAAATTCGATGTAGAAAGTTAGGACTAAAACAAAGCATAGAGGTCAGATTATTGAAAAATTTTAGATTCATAGTTTTGTATCTAAACGAAAGAAATATCTGGTGCTAAATCGAAATCTTTCTTATTATTCAGAATTAAGATGAAAACAAAGATTAAGATTACTGTAGGATGGGGTTAGAAACTTGCCTTTGAAATTTTTGATCCCAGATGAGAGGATTTGAGCGAGAAAACCCTAAGCCCCAAAATTTTTTTTTTCTTCTTCTTCCTCTTTTCCTTTCTTCTCCACCAATGCTGCCTTCTCATGTTCCTTAAGAACGAAGGCAGAGGTGTAGAGGCAGTGGAATTTGTCTTTTTTGTATATTTTTCAGTTTAGTCCTTGTATTATTCATATTTATGATTAGGTCCTCAGAGTTTACAAATAGGTCCTCAGTTTTTTTTTACTACTAGGTCTTATAAACAATTCAAAACAGATTCTTACATTATAAATAAGTCCTTATGAAAATTCAAAAATGAGGGGATTACACTCTCCCCCTCTTAAAAGAAAAATTAGTCCTCTACTATTTTGAATTGTTTATAAGACCTATTTTGAACTTATTTTGTAACTTGAGCACGAAAGTGTATTATGGCTGACTATTTTTCTCTCTACTATGGCCAACAAAAAGGATTCGATGACATGGACAGTATCTATGCGTCACCCGATGATTTCCAGAGCATGCATCAGAAAGAGAAGATAAGAGGGATTCACTTGCTGCAGTACTTTGTAGAACACTCTCATCAACTTGGGGTAATTGAAATTGGTTGAGAGGCCTTATCCTTTTTAGTTTGTCAATAAGAGTATTGACTTATACCTAGATGGAAAATTTTATCAAAAGTGATACTATAAATTTGCTTTTCTGATATTTTGTTATGATTTGCAGATACAATGTGAAGCCTGGATAAGGAAGGGTGATCCAAAAGAAGTTATATGCCAAGAGGTAAAGAAGGTTCAGCCAGATATTTTGGTTGTAGGAAGCCGTGGTCTTGGACCCTTCCAAAGGTAGTAGATTGTTATTTTTTGCTTCTGTTGGGATTAATTCATTTTATATATGTTCATTCTGAAATTGCTAGTTTGCATACTTTAATTTCTTGCTCTGCTTTATGGTCGTCAAGCTGTATGTGCTTTGATCCATGTATTAGTATCTATGACCAACACTTCCGCATGATGTTCGATATATATTTGAGAGTCGACAAGCTTTGTTTTTTTATTATCATGCCTATTGGACTTGACTTTTGTTGCTTGTTTGAGTTTTACTTATTAACTATTATATAGTTTAGGCATTAGATACTTTATCGCAGCAAGTTGAACATTAGAATTTATTGTTTAAGATCTTTCTGCCATAAAAAATATTATAGGTCACACTGGTAGAAACTTTTTCCTACTTTCAGAGTTTTATTATTATGATTTTTTTTTTACCGCAGATAAAGACTGGTTATTTCATAATGCAATGAGATTGTAATGAAGCTATGAGAAATGTTTGATTTCTGTACTTAGGGCATATGGAGGTGAGACTTCCCTTAGAAGTTGTTGGGTTCTGTGATTAAAGTGAACCCGATACTTGTTTGTATTGCCATTATTCTCCTATTGTGACACTTAGCCTTCTTTATAGTTTTCTTATTCAGTTGTCTCTTTGTTTTCTGCAAGTTATTGTTGGGAACTTTTTTGAATCTTGATTGGCAGTCAAAATTTTAAATTTTAATGCCATCTCGGTGCAATTATACTAAAATGATATTGCAAGAGTACCGAGAAATTAGTGCTGAAGTACCAAACAATATTTGAGTAGTAATTTAAGCACATTATTAATTTAAGTTTCTGCCACTGATTGGTTTGCTGTTTCAGTACTCTAAGATTACCCTTCTGTCATGAAGTAGTTGTTATTATCTTCCTAAACAGAAAATTTCGTTTTTTAATAAGTTTCAGCTTGTGTTTCTACTAATTCTATTTCTGTTGGTCACCCTAATCATTCTTTGGAACACTCAATTCTTCAATGTCCTACATAAGTGGTTCTATAACTGAAAAGAGAGGTCTCTGTTTAAAAAAATTCCATCATGGAGGTTGTTATATCCAGAAAACAGTTTAATCTGTTGCATTAGATGTTCCATGGTTCTTTTTTAAAACCTTAGCAGTTCCATTGATATCTTATAGTTTCCTTTGCATCTCTCTTAGTCTCAGTTTACAATCTAAAATATGGGGTACAATTATTATAATAATATATTTGTAATATTCAAAAATTAATTTAAAATCAATCTGACTAAAAATAGATAAAGATAGATTTTTTTTTTCAATCAGGGTATTGTATTCTCTTTTTAAGTGGATTTTGATAAGAGGATTTTTTTTAAAAAAAAATTGAATCTTAATATAACAACAATAACAAAGCCGCAAGTCCTAATTATTTGGAGTTGACTACATGAATCTTTTGTTATTATTGAGATATATAAAAAGTCATATATTTAATTAAGTTTAGAGTAATTAAATTTTTATTATAGTTTCTATTAAAGTTTTTTAAGTCTTCATATACCTGTACCACTAACATTAATCATTTCACCTCTCTTGACTATTGTATCTGGAGGTCTACTAAACATATGCCCATACTAACAATTCTCATTTTATCATCTATCGAGGTAATATCTAATTGTTCACGAATAAAAATAAATTTTTTTTAAATTTTTCTTGGTAACTCCAGGCATCCATCTTGACATTCTTATCTCGGTAACATAAACTTTTTTGTATATGTTGTTTTTTAACTGTCCAATACTCAGATCTATGAAAAATATTTCTTTTTCAATTTTTCCTAGGAACTCCATGTATCTATCTTGGCATTCTTATCTCGACAATATAAACTTTTTTGTATATGCTGTTTTTTAACTGTCCAATACTTAGATCTATGAAGTATTGTTAGTCTCACAGTTGTCTTATAAAATTGTTTTTTAGTTTTAAAGGTATTCGATGATCACACAAGACTCCTGAGTCCTTTGCCATTTTAACAATCTTATTTTTACTCTATGGATAATAATTGATCCAAGAGACCTAATAAATAGAAAAAATAAAATTAATTATTTGATTATTAAATTTGAGATTTTCATCATAAGACTCTTAATATTCGTAAGGATTGAAGGTACCACCTAGCTTAGTTGGTAAAGACTTTGATAGAGTATCACAGTCCTGGGCTCAAATCTCGCCTTTGCTATTTACTCTGTCAAAAAAAAAAAAAATCTTACTAAGAATCTCCCTTATTTCTTTATTAAGGACTAGTAGAGCCCCTTTATATTCATCAACGGATGAGTTGAGTCTCGGTCCACAAGGAGGGGGGCAAGGTGGTCTGCTGCCGGAGAGAGAGGTTCTCCTACTCTCCTAGTTTCGTTATTATAGTAATTTCATTATTTTTTAGCATTTAAGAGATAGTTGATTTGGTTTAGATTAATTGTGAATTTTCTTATAATTTTTGATAAATTATTTCAAAGTTTTAGATTAAATCATAAAATCTGCATTTTAATGATTATTTAAAAACTGAGTTTTAGATTAAGATTTAGATCATATTGTATTTGCTCTAACCTACAATAAATTTATATAATTTTACCAGGTATTCACGATTTATTGAATTTTTAATTTTAAAAATGTTAGTTTATTGATATTTTAATTTATGAGAAATATTTTTAGAAAATTTACATTTTTAGTTTGATATTTTTGCATAATTATTATTCTAAATTTTTAAAAGTGTTTTATTAAAAAAAGAAAACATGATGATTTGATTGAGGAATTGATTGGGTTTGGGTTTAACCTGAGCTAGGTTTGGGTTCAACGTATCCTTAGACCTAAGCTAAACCTAGGCATGGATCGTGAGTCATCATTGGCCATGCAGCCTAGAGGCCTATGTGGTTCAGGGCTTGGCGCATATGTTGAACCTGTGGGTCGGCCTAGAGCGTCATGTGGCTAATCTCGGCTTGGGCCTATGTAATGCAGCTCGGCACAACCAAACGCCTGAAGACCATGCTCAGTCCAATTAGCCAATGTTGACGTCCAACCCGTTGTCCTCTCCCTTATGGTGGACAAGTGCAATGCACATGATCCAATTGGGCTTCTATGTTCTGATCCAGAGTTGAACCTGTAACCCTTGTTGTCGTTGGCATGTGTGATACACGTGACTAGTTTTGTAGGTGGGATTAGAGCTCGGCCCAGCACATGCGTGCAGGGATCTGGGCCCTTGCAGTTGCCCTCTTATTGCTAGTTAAACCCTGTTCCAAGATCGCTTGTGGCTCGACCTAGCATTGTGCAGAGCTCAACCTTATCCAATTTAACTGTTAATTTAGGCCAAACCGAATCATTTTGATTGGCTCAAGATGATTTATTGTGACTGAATCAATTTTGACTGGTTCAAGCTTGTTTAACCAAAGTTAGACTCAATTAAGTTTAAATTAGATCAATTTAAGGTGTTTCCATACTAGTCCTAAAAAATGTCATATGCACCATATTAAAGTCTAATTTTAATCTATACTAGGAAGGACAACAATCCCTTAAGTTAAGTAGATTTTAACGCTTTGGTTTAGCCCTACATCAGGAGTTTCTAATGATAGATTGAGTTATAAAGGCTTGATGGATGTTCTATTGTCAAATCCAACAAAGTTAACATGTTAGTTATCCCATCAGGTTGGGCCGTGATACTTTTATTTTGGCCTGTCAAATTTGTTCATTGTTTTCTTGTGTGTGTGTGGGGGTATGGAATTTCTTTTCTGAAGTTCTTGTACTCTTTTTTAATGCAAGTTCTTTTAGATTAATTTGGTGCTAGTAACATATTCTGATTTCTTTTATTTAGTTTCCAAATTAGATGATTTCTCTGCACAGCATATTAAGTGAATGGCAGACATAGTGTTTGGAGATTGTCCACTCGTCCTCTAGGGTTGGTGCAAAGTGCAGTTTATTCATGTGAATATTGTTTAAAGGAATTCCTGTTCTCACATGTGAAGAAAGATATGCCATGATCATTGAATCATATATGCAAGGCTGAATTTAGCTTTTATACCGGAACTAAATATGGTGCATGGCCTGGACCATTTAATCCTCAAGTTTCTGGTTGCCTTCATGAGATGTGTTGACTTGATATCCTTTTGAAAATTTTTTTAACTCCGTAGTCGAAGGCTTCATAATTTTTGTTTATTAATGGAGATAATCATGTTCTTGTTTGTAATGACATTAAATTCATGTATTTATCAAAGTTTATTCACTCCTTTATGAATGTTATTAACTAAGTATACAGTGCACGTTTTATTTTTCTTTTTCAGGGTTTTTGTCGGGACTGTGAGTGAGTACCTGGTGAAGCATGTAGATTGCCCGGTGGTTACCATTAAAAGGAAGGCTGACGAGGCTCCTCATGATCCAATTGATGATTAGTGTTCAAAAACCGTGTAATATTGCTGGAAATGCACATTTCTCGGAACAAAACCAAGTTGAGATTTTTATGGATGTGTCTCAGCTTTATTTTGGATGATAAAACAGAAAAACTATAAGTTGTGTTTAAGTTATGCTCATGGACATGACTCTGCTTCAAAATAATGTATCAAGAATTGTTTTCCCAGTGGTTCCGCGGCTATCTGGATGTTTGATCGTGGCATTTTTTTTCTCGCAAGTTCCAAACGGGTTGCTTTCGCTTTCTTTTATTTGATTAGTGTCCTTATCAGCCTTCTGGTTCATATTTGAGAATTTCTTTTTGATGATTTTTTAGAAAAAGTTTTTGACTATGGCTTTTTCTTACATAGTTAAGCTGGTTAAGCTTAAATTTATTTTTGAACAGTTAAGCTTAAATCTAATTTTGAACAGTTAAGCTTAAATTTATTTTTTCAAAACAATGGGTTTGCGTCGTCCGTTCAGTAAAATCTTACTAATCAACTCAGGTTAAAATGATTTATGCTGGTTTAATATATTTTTTTTTAATTATGCTGGTTTAATTTTATTTTTATTAAGAAAATCTACAAAGTGATTGTTATCTGCACGGTGTTGTTCTGATAAGCAATTTTTTTATTGTTTTTATTTGTCTCCTTGTCTTTCATACATGGATACGGGGGTTGATGTTCTTTGTTTTCTTCTTTGTTCTTTGTGTTTTTTCATTTCTTCTTGAATCAAGAACACACAACATCACTTAACTATATTGTTTTCTGTATATGTATATGTATATATATATGTATATATGTATAAATAAATAAATATATATATATATATATGCATATATATATGTATGTATATATATATGTATATATATGTATATATATATATGTATGTATATATATATATGTATATATATATATATATATATGTATATATATATATATATTCTCATGAATAATGTGGTATTTAAAGCATATTTTCTTATTTTATGTTTATTTGTTAAATACAAATATTGTTATGATCGAGTCGGTACTAAGAGGGGGAAGGGGTGAATTAGTGCAGCAAATAAAAACGATATCGGTTCGAAAATCTTTTATTTGATAAAAGCTCGTATCGAAAATGTAAGTTTAACTTGAAAACGTACAGGAGCATAGTGAAAAAAGTAAGCAAGTAAGGCAGTTTACAGTAAGGGAATGAAAAGCAAAATAGAAATACAAACTGAGTTTTATAGTGATTCGGTCGTCGTGACCTACATCCACTCTCGATTCCTCTTCCATCGAGGCCACCGACATCCAGTAACGATCTTCTTTCAATTGGCGAAGATCAACTACCCTTTTACACTCTTTCTTCTTTTCACGGGTTTAGGAGACAACCCTTACAAGCCTCTCTTTCTTAGACCTCACTTCTCCCTTTAGATGAACTTCTAAATACTAGGAAGAAGTGATCCTAAATCCTAAGAGAGTTTCCAATTTTTCTCAAGTATTTTTCTTTCTTTTTCAACTTAATTTTATGCTCAATTCTTGCTACTCCAAATCCTAAGAGGAATAGTGGGGTATTTATATACCCCAAATAGCATTAAAATTAGAGCTAAAAAGGTCTCATCTTGAGTTTCTCGGGTCCTGGCGGTACCATCGCCTGCAGCACTAACATTGGGCGATACCACCACTTAGGAGACTATGTCTGGGCGATGCCATCGCCTGACATAATCTCGGAGATTGTGCCACCGATGGTTCTATCTATTGGGTCATTGTTTGGGCATTTCACTTAGCCCAACACAATTTAAACTTGGGCCCAATTGGCTCTTAATTGAGTTGGCCCAATTCCAACCCAATTACACCTAAAACCTACTTTAATCTAGACAATTATTACAAAGCTTGAATCAAATCTCGTCCGACATGTCATTGGTTCATCGACGCTTCGTCCGATTCTTCGACGCATCGTCCTCTCTTGTGGCCTATTACCCAATCGGCGAATTGACCTTTGCAACTCCAATTTTCTTAGCGCAATTTTCACTCTTCTTGGCCCGATACTTGAACCCATGGCCCGAAGCCTTTTGTTGATACGTCGATCAATCCTCTAGCTCGAAGTCCAATATTCAGACATATTCCACTTCGGCCCAATATGATTCTTCCTACTTTAATTGTCTCTCATTGATCGAAGCTTCCTGTGTCACTCAAAACGCAAATAAAATCATAAATACTATCAATTAGTTTCATCATCAAAATCCGAGATTCAACAATCTCCCCCTTTTTTATGATGACAATCAATTGATGACAAAGTTAACCTTAACTCCCCCTGTCAATATTCCATATTGATGAATCTTGAATTCAAATTGAATTCAAGTCAAAGCAATATTTCATCATGAATATTTCATCATTATCATAAGTTGAAGTATTACATGCATAATACTAAATCATCATGTATATTTTTAAAATATAAAATCATCATTACATGGATGATTCCAAATCATTATTCATCATGCAATGCATTATCATACCTTCTCCCCCTTTGTCATCAACAAAAAGGAGAAATGCATCTAGCAAAATTTTGAGATATGCAAGTTTTACGACATACAAGCTAGCAACAATTTTAAGTTATGCAAATTTATAAATTTTACTTCTTAAGATAGGCAAGATAGCACTTTCTTGAGATTGCAAACTAGCAATTAGTGGTGATGTTCAAGATAGCAAGTTCTTTCTTCTCTTTTGAGAAGTGCAAGCTAGCAATGTTTCTCCTTATAATTTGTAAGCTAGCAAATTTAGCAAGTGTTGTTATATCATATTAGAACATGCAAACTAGTAAATTTTATATCATTTTAGAGTATACAAGTTAGCAATTTTATCTAACCCTTTATCATTATAAAAAAGAAGGGAAGAATACAATTTTGTAATCCTTTTCCCTTTATATCAATTTTCATATTATGACAAAGATAAAGTATCATTCTTAATTCAATATGTTTGTGCATCATTATAGTTTCAAATTAAAACATGCACAATTTCAAAACCTTACAAATCATCCTTATTTTATATATAATACCAAAAATAAATCAATCATCACTATAAACATATCATGAATCAATCATCACTATAGACATATCATGCATGATGCTCAAGCATTTATGATACATCATTTTGGGCATAACATTCGTGATACTAAGACATTAAAATTTTTAAGCATTTATCTCTTCGTACATTAAACCAATATTAAAATTTTTAAACATTTATCACTTTTATACATGATACCAAACATTCAACATTTATTTTCTCCCTATTTGTCAAAAAGAGGGGAATAGCACAAAGGTGTAAATATTCGAGTCATCACATGAAAGATATCAAGAAAATTTTGATGATGAGATATACTTCATGAATACAAGAAATTATATAAAAAAAATTATATCATGAAAGATAAGATCATGTGAATACCAAAAAACATAATTCATTTTGACAAATCTCCTCTTAAATAATCAAAAGAAAATCTTAGGAGATTGCTCTTCAAAAGAAATTTTAAGTCATGAATTCCTAGAAAGATATTCTCTTTAGTAAACAACAAAAGAATTGTAGGAGAACAAATAATAAATTATCTCGATTCATGCATAAGAATTCTCAAGATTCATATAGAAAATCTTTCAAGTTGTAATCAAAAGAACAATTTAGATAATTTTTCTATTTAGCAATGGTAAAAAAGAAACATAGGAGAAAAATATCTCAATTCATGCATATGAAATCTTCAATAATTAAGATCATGAGTTGGATAAAACTCATTCAAATCTAAATCATCAAAATCACTTTAATAGTTCAAGAGATTCATAAAATATCATAAATAGATTCATTAATCTCTTTTTTTAAAAATTGATAAGATAGAGAAAATGAAATTTTCAAGAAAAATGCTTTCCTCTTTTTAGTTGTTTCAATTTAAATGATTTTATTTTTACAAGCATGCCAAAGTTTTTATGCCAAATCAAAACATGCATCATCGTTTAAAACCGAAAAATAATTTTCATCATCAAGGTTGTTGAATCTTGGATTTTGTTGATGAAATCAATTGATGAGTTTGTGATATAATATGCATTTTGAGTAACATAGGACTAGCTTCAATCAAGGAGAGACAAATTGATTAAAGCAGGAGGAATCAGACATTAGGCCAGAGTGAACATGTTAGAAGATTGGACGTCGGGCCGGAGAATCGGTCGACATATTGGCAGAAGGCTTCGTGCCATGAATTCGGGCATAGGACCAAAGGATCGAACATTACGCCAAGGAGATCGGAAGTTGCGGGAGTCAACATGCCGATTGGGCAATACGCCGAAGGATCGGATAAGCGCCGGATAAACCAATGACATGCCGAATAAAGGATTCATGCTTTGTAATCATTTGTCTAAGATCGAAGTAGTTTAGGGGGCTAATTGAGTTAGCTCTTGATATAATAATGTTAACTCAATTACGGGTCAATTATATCTTAATTGGGACTGATTTGGACTCATTGGGAGGCTCATTCAGTGACCCAATATGTGTCATTGTATTAATGATTTATTATGAGTCAATATATCACATAAACAGACTCTAATGTCTATTAACTCAAAATTGAGGTAATGAGCTTATATATTACGTTTTTAAAAATATAGAAGTTACTTTAGACACGAGTAAACCATAAGGGCTTATGGTTCATAGCCAAAACAATATGAGCTAAAATGGACCTTAACTTTTTTTAAAACTTAAATTACATGTGTTATTATATTAATAATTTATTATGGGTTAGCATGTCATGTAAAAATATTTTAATATCTATTAACTTAGACTTGACGGGAGGAATTTATATGCTATATTTTTTAAAATATAAGAATTATTTTAGACATAAGTAAATCATAAAAACTTAAATGATTCATGATCAAAATTATAGGAGTTTAAATGAACCTTAATCCTATAAAATAATGATACATATGATATTCTCGTAAGAGGAATATTACCGATGCGATAAGCGTGAACGAAAACGAGAATAAAAATAAGAAATAAGAGGACCACCGGGGGTCAAGGGTAGTGTGTTGGCAGCAGCGAACAACAAAAGATAGGATCGCGTGGGAAACAAACATTATTGTATTAAGGTTTATAGGGTTACTGTCTTGTCTGATCCTTGTTGATCACTGTACCACATGTGGATTGTCCGTAATTGGGGGGCCTACGTGTTGATAGCCAGTGC